ATGTTCCAAAGTAGAGAACTGGTGGGTTCCTGAGACGTCCTTCAGGGACCCAGAGTCCATGCACTTTTGCTTCTAGAGGGTGTGACGAGTCCAACTACCTTGGCCCCTCAGTACCAGGGCCCTGGCTGAACACACAGGAGCTTTGCCGTAAGAACCGAGGAAGCAGCATTTCTGGGTGCAGCCGAACCAGCCACCTGGCACCTGCTGCTTTGATCTCTGGTCTCAACTTCTTTCCGTTACTTTATATTTTGACTAAATCGATCCTAAAGGTCTTGAGCACAGGGTACATGATCTGGTAAAAGATAGCACAGGGCCAGTGGATTTACGCCAAAGACAGTGCCATGTGCCCAGTAGGGGAGGCCACAGAACTTCCTGGCAGGTGGGGTGGAAGGAGAACTCTGGGGAGGGTTCAAACTTGGGGCAGCCTTCCAGATCTATTCTTATCAGGGGAAAAAAAGGCCACGCACTGATGGTTTTCCTCAACGAGCTAATCGGCTCAAAAACAAATCGTTTCCACTGATCAGAGATCCTTTACAAGGATAACCTTCAAAAAAACCGTAAAGCTGGACTGCAAAATGCAGCATTTTCTAGACAGTGAGATCAGAGTGTGGCATGCCAGTCCCAGAGACAATCTGCATGCCCCTTACCCCTGGCCTCTATCTAAGTGGCTGCCAACTCTTCCCCCAAACTCTGTGTCTGCACAGAATTCTGTCCTGTGCACACATGGGATTTGAAAACAGACGCCTTGAGGTTGTGCCTTGGTGCCACAACTCTAACTGCGTGACCTGCATCAAGTCCTTTCACTCTGGTTTCCTTAATGGGGGACCATGATGATCATCCCACCTCAGAGGCTGCTGTGTGGCTCAGCTAAGCGAACAGCCCAAAAGAGCTTTGCAAATTCCTAGCACTGAACAAGTATAAATTATTCCACCGCATGGGGTCACTCCCGACAACCCTGCGGTGCGATCTGCCAAGTGAAATGGCTGTTGAGATCCGGCAGGTGGGTTCCAGCCTCCACCACTCTCCTCGCCTTACCACACAACACTTACTTGCCAGCGACCTCAAGCCCGAAATCCCTTGGTTTCTTACCCAGTTCCCACACCCGCCTATGGTATCAGAAGCAGCTGTTGCCAGGGCAACCTGCAAAGTCCAACCTGCACCCGTTAAAAAGGAACTGGCCCCATCTCACCCCGTATGTCAGAAACACCTGCTGCTGCCTTAGAAACCTTCCTAGTCACGCTGCTTAATGAGGAAATGTTTGTGAACCTGATCCACTTTTCTTTTCCCGGAATGATTCCAGCTGTGCATCCAAGTATCAAGCTGTTTTGTTTCCCAACTTCCCACCGGAAGTTAAAAAAAAAAAAAAATCCTCAAGTCCTTCTCACCTGACCCAAAGCAGCACTGAGCTGACCTTCCCTACAACTGGAAAAGTTAACAGTGTAAAGCATGAGGAGGGAGGCGTTTTTAGGTTTTTTTTTTTTTTTTGAAATGGGGTCTTGCTCTTTCGCCCAGGCTGCAGTATAGTGGCGAGATCTCGGCTCACAGCAACCTCCACCTACCAGGTTCAAGCGATTCTCCTGCCTCAGCCTCCCAAGTAGCTGGGACTACAGGCACATGCCACCACGCCCGGCTAATTTTCTTTTTGTATTTTTTAGTAGAAACGGGGTTTCACTGTGTTAGCCAGGATGGTCTCAATCTCCTGACCTCGTGATCCGCCCGCCTCAGCCTCCCAAAGTGCTGGGATTACAGGTGTGAGCCACCGTGCCCGGCCTTTTTTGCGTTTTTAGTTTTCTTTTTTTTTTTAAGAGACGAAGGTCTCACCCTGTCACTCTGTGGCCCAGGCTGGAGTGCAGGGCGCAACAATAGCTCACCTCACAGCCTCAATTCTTGGACTCCAGCAATCCACCTCAGCCTCCCAAACAGCGGGGAGTCCAGGCCTGTGCCACGCCCCCAGCTGGTTTTCATTCTTTCTAAGGAATTGCTGGGGTTGGAGCTGGGTTGGGGTTGGAGATTCCTCCCATCCACCAGGGATAAATAGTTAAGAGGACGTGAAGGAGCTTTGGAGGCAAAAACTCCTAGATTTGAATCCCATCTTGACCCTTCACTAGCTATGTAACCTCGGGCAAATCAGCCTTTCTCTTTTGTTTCTCATGTGTAAAATGGGGCCAATACTCCCAACATCACGAGGTTGTAAGGATTAAATGAGAATGAAACAAGACCACCAGGCAGCAGGCCCGGCCCTTGGCAGGCACCAGGCAGTCTTAATTCCCACACCGTCATGACTTACTGTTAGGAAATCCTGCCTGTCAACTGTGCCAGACACCCAGCTAGGTCTGGACCCAGAGGACTCTGAAAGAGCCGATCTCAGAGGGAAGCAAAGGGTGTGGCTTTCTGAAACAAGCTCCAAACCAATCTAGACAAGGGTCAAACAGAAGCGTATGTGCGGGGAACGTTCAATCTCTCATGACAAGGAAATCGCTTTATGAAGGAAACTGTCATCTTTACGTAAGTATTTACATAACAACTGAATGCTCCTCCATCCACTGAAAAACTCCATCTGACCCCTCTTTGCCCAGAGGCAGGGCCCTCAAGTGAGAAGACTCAAGAAGAATGAGCCCATCACTGTGCCAAAGAGTGGGAGGCACCAGAGTGGCAGACTTCAGGAAATTAAGCCGCCCCACTGGCTGGGAGGTTCTATCAGCACAGGGCAGGCTGCAGAGACCAGCACTCATAGGCCGCTGGCTTGGCCTTGCTGACCCGCCCATCCCCTAAAGAACCTCCTCCCAAACCTGCTGGATCTCCACGCACACCTACATTCCAGCACTCCTCCATCGCCACTCCTCTCACTCTTCAAACTTTTTTCTCCCCCAACTAGGCTTTCTCCCAGTCTCCGTTTCTATCAGTGACCTCGGCTCCTGGCCCTGACTTCCAGGTCTCCAGGTCAGCTCAGATATGTGGGTCCCCCAATCCCTGATGTCCAATCACCAAGTTTTAGCTAGTCAGTGTTCCCAAGGCTCTTACACGTACTCATCCCTGTCCCGTGCAGGCTGCAAACTGGTCTTCCCACCTGCAGGGTCTCTCTCTCACATCCCACCAGGGTCCCTGGATGAACGTGTCCTATCACACTGCTTCCCTGAGGCTGGCCGTACTGCCCCGCTCCTTCCCTCATCTCCCAGCTGTCAATGGGTGGCAGGAGGCGGGGGTGGGTAGACTAGCTAGTCTAGACAGGACGCCTCCCTCCTCTGACCATTTGCCCTGTTTAGCCTAATCCTGTCACTTTCAACCTTTTTCAAAGGAGAAGAGTTTTTTTTCTTTTTTTCCAAACAGAACATTTAATCCAAGCCCCACTTCAGAGAATACTTCACAGTGCACATGCTATGGGCAAAGGGGTCAGGGAGAGCCCTGTTCTCACAGCTCAGTTTCCCCCTTGACCTAGAGTTGGCCCCTAAGACCACTGCCCTAACCCCTTACCTCTGCTGCTTCCAACCCTCACCGGCCCCTGCCCTGTCCCCTCCTCCACTCCCTTTCAGCTGTGATGTCTCGCCAGCAGCGCAGGGCAGGGGGTCATCAAACCAGGCCTTACCGTGTCCTGCCCAGTTGCCCTGCAGAGCCTCATTGTCCGATCAGTTTCAGGAACCTTGACAGGCCCTGCGTCTAAGGTTTAGAGACTGCTCACAGTCCAGAGGCTGTCCCGGGCATTCTATGAGCAGCAACTCAGGTAATCCTCACTGCACCTGTGTTGCTGTCCATCCTCGGCCTTTCCTCATTTTTTTTTTTTTTTTTGAGACGGAGTCTCGCTCTGTCTCCAGGCTGGAGTGCAGTGGTGCAATCTCAGCTCATGGCAAATTCCGCCTCCCAGGTTCAAGTGATTCTCCTGCCTCAGCCTCCTGAGTAGCTGGACTACAGGTACATATCACCACGTCAGCTAATTTTTTGTATTTTTAATAGAGATGGGGTTTCACCATGTCAGCCAGGATGGTCTCAATCTCCTGGTCACCTCAGCCTCCCCGAGTGCTGGGATTACAGGTGAGAGGCACTGCGCCCGGCCTTTCCTCATTTTAAAGAGGAGAAACTAAACTTCTGTGCCTGCCACAGTCTCACAGGGAGGAATTGCAGAGTCTGAACTGCAATGGAGGCCGCACAGCTTCACGGGCCCCGCGCTTGCCAGACTGCCTCAATCAAGTCCACATCCACCAAACACCAGGCCTGGCTCCGGGGAATAACTTAATAAATGGTGGTTAGCAGGGACATCTTCAACTAGACCCCTCAAGAGTAGGACCTGTTATATTTTGGTCAGAACCCAGCATAATGCTGTCCTAACAAATACTAGAGTGGTAACTACTCTCCTTCACCAGCCCTCAGACTAAAGGCCAAACAGGGGTACAGGCCCAGGAGCCCCGGCGGCACAGGAGCAGTGCCTCTTTTGAACCTCAGCTCTGCAGGGGAGACCCAGGGATTAAAGGCTCTGAATCTGTAAGGCAAGCAGCCTACGCTATCACTTACTGGCTGGGGAGAGCCTGGGTGGGTAATTTAAAATCTCCGTGCCTCAGTGTCTTCTATAAGATGCAGCTTTTGGCCAGGTGCAGTGGCTCACGCCTGTAATCCCAGCACTATAGGAGGCCAAAGCAGGCAGATCACAAGGTCAAGAGATAGAGACCATCCTGGCCAACATGGTGAAACCCCATCTCTACTAAAAATACAAAAATCAGCTGAGCGTGGTGGCGCATGCCTGTAGTCCCAGCTACTTGGGAGGCTGAGGCAGGAGACTGCTTGGACCTGAGAGGCAGAGGTTGCAGTGAGTCGAGATCCTGCCACTGCACTCCAGCCTGGAGACAGAGCAAGACTCCAACTCAAAAAAAAGAAAAAAAGATGGAGCTTTTCTAAGGACGGACTGAGTTTCATACCTAGAAAGTCTAAAGCCTGGCTCTCAGGCAGGGGATCAATAAACTGTCGTGATTCCTATCACCACGGCGCAGCGCAGACACTCAGCCCATTCTTACCTCTGCAACTCTGCACTTCCTGTGTGGACTCTGAGGACACAGAATTTAAGATTCCTCCAGAGATGGCATCAGTCAACACAGAAACATAACTCCAATGGCTGAATCAACAATCTGTAATCAGATCAACAGCATTCAGCGTCAATCAAAACGATGGCTAAGAAGCAGATGATTTAGTAAGTGGCTGGTTTCTGAAACTCCCTGACAGTCAAGCCCAGCCATCTGGCAAGGCCTCTTCCTTCTTTGGCCCATGACTCACTTGAAAAGAAAAACATACTGACTTCACGCCAACTTCCACTTGTATCTCCTTTGTCCCTACTGTTGAGATGACTCGGAAAGGATTTCAGTCTGCAGCTGTCCCTCCCCCCCCAGCCTACTTCTAATCTGCACAGAGCAAGCTGAGCAATCAGATCCACCTGTCCCTTAAGAAGGGATCAAGAGGAAGGTCAAGGCAAAGACACACTCAAGACAAACATCCAGGAGCGTGCGCCGATCACACAAGCTGTGTCTGTCCAAAGCCCGAGATGATGAGACCGCGGTTCTCACCGAGGTTTGACCGTCCCAGGCTGATACAAGGTGAGGCAGCTACAGCCCCTACTCCTGTCAGTGACAAGCCTGACCCAGAACTTCCGGGTCCAGAGGAATCATAAAGAGAAACCAAGCCAGGCCCTCCTAAAATCTGTTCTTGACTCAGGCAGGAATCCACAAAGGCCGTTATCAAAGGGTGGCAATGCCGGATCCATGACCACACTGAGCTCTGGACTCACTTTCAGCCTTGCACAGAATGTCTGCCCTGAGCCAGCCCAGCCCTCTCCAGCCCTCTCTTCTGCACACCCCAGTAACCTCGAGAGAGCAGTCAGAGCTCCCACGGCCCTCCCATGGCTCCCCAGCACTTCAGTATTATGTTCAAAGCCCCAGGCTCCTTGGCCTGGTATACAATGCCCTGTATCAGCTGACCCCGAGCCTCTATTTCTCCACAGGTAGCTCACTCCACCCCAACTTTCTGTTCTACCTACCGGTCCCAGAACAAAAACCACACTTCCAGTCACTTAACATATGTTGAACTCTAAAGATCAATAGGACAGGGACCCTGGCCTATTAGGAGCGCACAGCACAGGCCGCCCTGCCTTTGCTCCTACACTCCACTCTGCCTGGAATACTCTTTCCTACACTTCCCCATCTATAAAAGGCCTGCTCCATCCCTCAAAAGTCAGCAACTCTCTAAGGCTTTCCTTGCTCCTTCCTCCCAGAGTTCATCCTGCCTTCCATGGTACCCTGTACACCGCACACAGCATTTTATTTAGGAAGCACGTGTTTCTCCAGCAAGAGTGTGAGCTCCCCAAGAGCTCAGCTGGGGTGTTTGTTTCTGCATCCCAGCGCCGAGGTCAACACTGGCCACATACGAGGTGATACGGTGTGACTCTGCGTCCTCGCCGGAATCTCATCTTGAATTGTAATCCCTGTAATCCCCATAAGTGAAGGGAGGGACCTAGTGCGAAGTGACTGGAACACAGGGGCGGCTTCCCCCATGCTGTTCTTGTGATAGTGAATGAGCTCTCATGAGATACGTGGTTTTATAAGCGTTTGACAGTTTCTCCTACAGACGCTCTCTCACCTGCCGCCATGTAAGATGTGCCCACTTCACCTTCCACGACTGTAACTTTCCTGAAGCCTCCCAAGCGTGTGGAAGTGCGAGTCAATTAAACCTCTTTCCTTTATTAGTTACCCAGTCTTGGGCAGTTCTTTTCATTATAGCAGTACGAAAAAACAGACTAACACCCCAGGTATCCAAGGAATGCTGACTGGACGGGGACTTCTGCTTTTGGCTAACGTGGAGGAAGAGGCACCAGATTCACTCTCCTCCCTCAGAAAAACTAAAAAGCCAGACAAAGCCAAACGAAACACACACGATAGTTTGTCAACACTGGACATCAGACAGCAGAGAATAATGATCCCTGACAGCGAGTGCTACAGTCACTCCAAGTGACTCCTAGAGGGACTCCGGGCCCAACGCACAGGGAGTGGAGAAGAGAAATTCGAACTCCAAGGAGGCCGGCGTAGCCAGAGTTCACAGAGTAGAGTACCAGAGAGAAAGGGGCCTCACAGAGAACCCCAGAAACCTGCAGAGGGTCCCCCACCAGTTCTCAGCTAGTACTGATCTGTACAGTCCAAGGCAACAATCCTCAGACATCAACAGTGGAAAAACCTCATCATTCACAGGACATTGGTAAAGTACTAAGGACAATATTGCCTCCATAGTGAGGAAAAATCAGGCCCGGGCCTAAGGCTGTTCTGATCCCAACTAACAAGCCTTTAAAGAATCAAACGAGTGCGGGGGCTCAGGCCTGTAATCCCAGCACTTTGGGAGGCCAAGGCAGGTGGATCACCTGAGAGGAGGAGTTTGAGACCAGCCTGGCCAACATGGTAAAACCCTGTATCTACCAAAAATACAAAAAAAAAAAAAAAATTAGCTGGGTGTAAAACACTGTCTCTACCAAAAATACAAAAATACAAAAAAAATTAGCTGGGTGTGGTGGCGGGCGCCTGGTTTTTTCTTTTGTTTATCCGTTCACCTGTCAATGGACACTCCGTGGCTCCCGACTTTTTGCCTATTGTAAATATCGCTGCTACAAACACGGATATGCACATACTTGTTCAAGTGTCTGCTTTCACTTCTTTTGGTATATATACAAGGTGGAACTGCTAGATGATACAGCAATTCTATGTTCAATTTTTTCAGGAATTGCCATACAACTTTCCACCGGCTACACCATTTTACATTCCCACCAAAAAAGCACAAGGGTTTCAATTTCTCTACATCCTTGTCAACACTTATTATTGACTGTTTTTTTTTAAGTAGCCATTCTAATGGGTGAAGTGGTAGCTCCTTGGGGTATTGATTTGCATTCCATAATGACTAGTGATGTTGAGAATCTTTTTTTTTTTGTTTTTAATTGAGACAGAGTTTCGCTCTTGTTACCCAGGCTGGAGTGCAGGGTCGCAATCTCAGCTCACCGCAACCTCCGCCTCCTGGGTTCAGGCAATTCTGCCTCAGCCTCCTGAGTAGCTGGGATTACAGGCGCGTACCACCATGCCCTGCTAATTTTTTGTATTTTTAGTAGAGACGGGGTTTCACCATGTTGACCAGGATGGTCTCAATCTCTTGACCTCGTGATCCACCCACCTCGGCCTCCGAAAGCGCTGGGATTACAGGCGTGAGCCACTGCACCCAGCGAGAATCTCTTCATGTGCTTATTGGCCATTTGTATATCTTCTTTGAAGAAGTACCTATTCAAGCCTTTCACTCATTTTTGAATCGGGTCGGTTTTTGTTGTTGAGTAGTAGAAGTTCTTTGCATATTCTGGAAGTCAATTCTTAACACAAAATTTTTAAAGCTGGATTAGCTATACTAATATCAGACAAAGCAGACTTCAGAGCAAAGAATATTTCCAGGGGCTAAAAGGGTCATTTCATGATAAATGACATAGTTTGGATATCTGACCCCTCCAAATCTGTTAAAATGTGATTCCCAGTGTTGGAGGTGGGGCCTAATGAGACATGTTTAGGTCACGGGACAGATCCCGCATGGGTAGCTTGGTGCCCTCCCTGCAGTAGTGAGTTCTTGCTGACTTAGTTCACATGAGAAGACGGTTGCTTAAAAGAGCCCGGCATCTCTCTGGCTCCCCTCTGGCTGTGCGACACACCTGTTCCCCTTTCACCTTCTGCTATGAGTAAAAGCTTCCCAAGTCCTCACCAGAAGCAGATGCTGGTGCTATGCTTCTTGTACAGCCTACAGAACTGTGAGCCAAATGAATCTCTTTTCTTTATAAATTATCCAGCTTCAGGTATTCCTTTAGAGTAATGCAGAACAGCCTAATACAATACAACAGAGAAGAGCAATTCATACGGGGAAATATAATACTCATAAAGGTGTATGCAGTTAACAACAGAGCTTCAAAACCTGGGAAACACAAACTGATAAAACCACAAGGGGAAATGGACAAATCCACAATTATAATCAGAAGTGTCAATGTCCCTCTCTCATTAACTGAAAGAACAGAACGCCGAAAATCAGTACGAACACACAAGACGAACAACATCGCAAACCAACCTGCCTGAATTGAAAGTTACTCAACACTTGACTCAACAATAGCAGAATACACAACCTTCTCAAGCGCTCACAGAACATTTACCAAGACAGACCATATCCTGGGCCATAAAAAAAGCCTCGGCAAATTTAATAGAAAGGTGTGTTCTCTAAAGAAAAGTAGAAATCAGTGTTTTTTCAAAAGAACACTTTACCTCTGTGACTAGTTTTAGTCATGCTTGAGGTGGGACCAGATAAATCAGTAGTGGGACTAAAAATACTTACAGATCTTCAAAGCTAGGCTCACCTGCCTGAGCTATCTGTTTGTAGTTCATTGGGAAGACTCTCTCCCCTCTCCAGCCCCAGCTAAATCAAGACAAATCTGTTTGATATTTGCTTAGTCTTTCACATAAACAAGCAAATGAAGACAAAGAGGTGAGATATGAATTGGAAGGAGCACCTACTAAGCAAACATGCTTTAAAGCTGGCAAAACCTCAGGCAGGACTGCCATTAGACACCTCTCTGTCATTCGGTAAGCACCTGGGAACAGACCAAAACCTTGTGGAAACACCACATCCTTCAAAGAAACTTCTAACAGAATTTCCACACAACAGAGATCCAACTGGATTAAAACAGCGAAATCCATTAAATCAGGTCTTCAGTGACCTGATTTTGTCAGCCTGGAAAACCCCTATTATTACTGGTCAACAGTGTCCAGAAATGATTCATATGGCTAGTTAACACAATGGCCTTTTAAGGGCAAATTAACAAACTTCAAAGCAATAAACAAAAAGAAAACAAGAATCCTCAGGAATAATCTCACATCTAAGCTACCAGCGGCCCAGTAAATCTACGAAGTTCTTAAAGGCGGTGCTTCCCAAATTCACCTTACAGTAAGAATCACCCAGTGCATTTGTTAAAAATAGATTTCTGGGCCCTCCTCCAGATAACAGCACAAGAATCTCCAGAGGTGGAGCTCTGTATTTTTAACAAGCATCAGAAATGATTCTTAAGGTCCAGTACCTTAGGGAAACTAAAGGGTTGAGAAGCAGTATCACAGATTAAAAGCACATTAGCCTCGGAATGAAATTGATGGGTTAGAAATCCCTTGTCCCGGACACTGTGGCTCATGCCTGTAATCCTAGCACTTTGAAAGGCCGAGGTGGGTGGATTACCTGAAGTCAGGAGTTTGAGACCAGTCTGGCCAACATGGTGAAAACCTGTCTCTACTAAAAAATACAAAAATTATCCAGGCCTGGTGGCGGGTGCCTATAATCCCAGCCACTTGGGAGGCTGAGGCAGGAGAATCACTTGATCCCGGGGTGGGATCAGAGGTTGCAGTGAGCTGAGATCACACCACTTCACTCCAGCTTGCGAAAAAGAGTGAAACACCATCTCAGAAAATAAATAAATAAACCATCTTGGCCACTTACTGGCTGTGTGACGCTAGCCAGGTTATCTAACATCTCTGCAACTCACTTCATCCATAAAATGTAATCACCACCTATTTGGACATGTTCACTGAATACCGTACGTTCAGAAACCCCCAGAACAGTGCCCAACAAATGGAAGCCAAGCAAGAAATCAAAGCTATTAAAAAAAAAAGAAAAAAAATCATAGCTATTGCCACCTGCAAAACAGTGGCCAGAAACTGCCCAGAAAGTCTACAATGAAAATCATCTACTTAATGGAAATACAAAGGCACAGAACCAAATTTCCAAGATAATCTAGGAAAAAGGCTTTTCTGGGCACTATGACCTCAAAGAACAAAGACTCACTTCAGCGTCTAGTATTTTCACTTCAACAGTCCCCAATCCCCCCTGGAACTACAGAGTTCAGGTCTCTGCAGGGTTGCAGCTTTGGACAACAAAGTAAAAGTCTCTCTTCCTCCAGTTCCTCGGGCACCACCACCTCCAGCTCTAACGCCAAGAGTCACAGAACTGAGAGTCGAGTGGCAGCATCTTGGTGCATGAGTAGGAAATGGGACTCCTGGAGCCAATAAAGGGGGCGGAAAAGGCCTTAGGCAGCAACAGGGAAACTGAGGTACTGCTGGAGCGAAGAGAAATTAGTCTGGAAAGTTTCTGGAGCTGAAGGCTGGCATTCCCAGGGTAAGTGAGCCCAGACAAGGTGTAGCTGAGAAAGCATTGCCTCAGCTCAGGGGCTAGGCTAAAATCCCAAGTTGCATAGTCAACTCTGCCAGTAACTCACAAAACAGCTCCAGGTGACTCCTTCTCCCGTCGGTAAAGTGGGAAATCACCTCACTGGCTGAGGAAATCGAGAGGAAACAGGGACAGAATGGGTATGTATACACCCGCTACCCTTTGCACCCAGACGGTCCCGGGGTAAGAACTGGTCAAAGATGCTGGGAGGTCCAAGTCTGAGAACTGAACACAGCCAAAGCTGAAAGTCCCATCTCTCAATGCCCTGGGGAAAGGGCACAAGCCAGGAAGTCAGAGACCAAAGTCCCTCCAACCTCCACTCTGCCACTCGTCTCCCGCATGCCCTCTAGCGAGTGAGATCCTACTCTTAGACCTCAGTTTCCCCATCTATACAATGGGCTAACTGGCTGTAATGTCATCAGAATTGTGACCGCAGATGCTTACTTATGGGGCGAAGGGCTACGGAGGTGGAAAAAGAAAGGTGGCGGTGAGGGGCGGGGCGGGGCTGGAGGTGCGACCTGCAGGGGAGCCGGGGCGGCGCCTCGCGCTCTCCCTCCCTCCAACCGCTAGAGACAGGGGCGCCGGCCCCCGGCGCGAGTCACGCGCCCCTCGTGCCCAATCACCGGCCTCTGCCAGGATGAGGCGGGCAGGCAGGGGCGCCCCGGGAGCCACCGCCGGCGCCGCCCCCCACCGTCGCCCTCTGCCCCGCCTGCCTGCGGCAGAGCCGGGACCCTCCCCAGTCTCCGCTCACCTGCCAGGGCCGCCGCCGCCGCCGCCGCCACTGCGGGTTAAACCGCAGCCGCGCCCACACTTCCGGGGTCCGCCAGGCCCGCCCCCCACCGGATGTGACACCCCCTGCAACGTCCGGCGCCGCAGCGCCGCGCGTGCTCGCCCCGCGACCCCGTTGGGCGCCCCGCTTGGCGCGCCTCTGAGTTACCACGACATCGTGCCACACACACACTCGCGGCCGCCCGGGCCACACCCGTGGGAGCGCCCAGGAGACCCCTCGCGCGCGCGCGCCGCACGCCCCGGCCCCCGCCCCGGCCCCGGGAAGAGACCCCGCCCACTGGGCGGAGACCAGGCCGCTCTGAGCGAGTGCGCCGGCGCGGACGTCCACCGCCTCCTGAGTGGCCAGCGAGCCTTCTCTCTTTCACTGCACGACCTTGGGAGGCTGGTCCGAGGGACCCAAAAGGAGCGGGAAGCAGATGGAATCCCAGGACCTAGGAGGAGCCCCAAGGCCACCACGTACTCATTTTCATTTACTAATCTCTTTCCCGCCCATTCATTCTACAGAATTACGGATATTCCCCCATCTCCTCCCTTCCCTCCCAGAAACAGGAGCTTCCAGCATAATAAGGAAGTCCCCTCTGCTCTAACCCTTAAGAAAAGGAACGTGAAGTGACCGGATGTTAACCAATCGGGTTTTTTTTTTTTCTATTCTGTTTCCTTTCCCACCTATGAAACCCACTGCTCTGCTATTTCCCAGGGGGATTTTAGACCAAATAAGTCTATTTACAATGGTAACTGATGTCAATCTCTGAAGTTTCCAACCTCTCAAAATCAAGAAGTTGACCATAAGGGGAGAATTTTTCAGTTTAGCCTAAAGCTGTCTCCTGGCATTTTAAGTTTGGCCTAAAGGTTTCTCCACACGTAGTGAAAGGAAACCTACTCATACCGATCACAGAGTTTCAGCCAATCACAAGCAGACAACTGTTCAAACCTTGTTGCCATAAGGCAAATGTCAATCTGTCATTGATACGGAACCAAACGGGATCCCTTGGCCCTCGGAAAGCCAAACAGAAGTATCAGGTTTTTGTAGAGGGAAAGGTTTGTGCAAGTCAGCTGGCAAGGAGACATGCTCAAATCTGTCTCCCCAAGCCAGGGGCTGTGGCAGGTGTTATGGGCAGAGGGTAATGAGCTGTGATCTTATTGAATCTTGCAATGAGCAATGACCTGACTAGATCTTGCCATGGGATGATGCCATGGCTCAATCTGGTTAGGTCATGAATTATGCCATGTATCTACTTCTTAATTCTGTCCCCATTCTTTGGTCTGAGCATTTAGGTTCCGCCTGTGGCTGCACGCTTGATTTGTCTGGGCATGCTCAGGTTACATAACGTGCAACCTAGGATCATGGCAACTGAAAAAAACTACTCACCATCTTATTATGACACAAAGTTGAACCAGATGGGGCTGGTTCTACATTTACATAACTAGTCCAACTGTTTCTGTACCTCGCTTCTTTTTCTGGACATTACTTTCCTTTTTCCTTTTTTATTTTTAAAATGTAATGATCATTATTTTTTAAATAGAAATAGAGATTCACTATGTTGCCCAGGCTGGTCTGCAACTCCTGGGCTCAAGCAATCCTCCAGCCTCGGCCTCCCAAAGTGCTGGGATTACAGACATGAGCCGCCATGCCCAACCTGCTTTCCTTTTTCTATCCATAAATGTTATCTGAACACGGGGCAGCCTCAGAGTCTCTCTGAACCTATTCTGGTTCTGGAGGCTGACTGATTCACAAATCATTATTTGCTCAATTAAACTGTCAAACTTAATTTGTCTAAAATCCTTCAAACAGAAGGGGTCCGTGAAGAACACAGTCTCAACTACTGACCCTCCTAAGACACTGGTGACTCCTTTGAGGGATGCCATGTTGGTTTTGCAAACATTTCACTTGGTACATAATGTCATGACTCCCTTTGACAGCACCTGCCTGAAAGCTAGGTTGAAATTGCTTCTGAGGGGTACGGAGGACCAAGGCAAATGACCTTAACTTTTTGTCATAAGCCCTTTTGTGCTATGCGATTTTTTTATTTTTTAATTTTAGACAAAGTTTCACTCTTGTTACCCAAGCTGGAATGCAATGGCTCGATCTCAGCTCACTGCAACCTCCGCCTCCCAGGTTCAAGTGATTCTCCTGCCTCAGCCTTCCAAGTAGCTGGGATTACATAATTACACGTAATTACAGATTACATGTGGATTACACCACACCTGGCTAGTTTTTGTATTTTCACTAGAGACGGGGTTTCACCATGTTGGCCAGGCTGATCTCGAACTCCTGACCTCAGGTGATCTGCCCACCTCAGCCTCCCAAAGTGCTAGGATTACAGGCACAAGCCACCATGTCCAGCTGCTATGTGATTTTTAACTCTGCCTGTGTATCATTTCCGAAGGAAAATAATTAGGAAACACTACTGATGGATTAGCTTGAGTTTATATCCTGCAATCTCTTCACTGAGTGGTACCATGTTGGAAGGTGGAACATGGACGTGATGGCTGGAACAAGAGTAGTCATCTTGAATAATGATGAGGCAACCGTAGGAATAGAGGCCACACTGGTGGCACAACAAAATAGAGGGAACCTGAGCCCTGATACCATAAAGGGCCATGACACCGCTGGATGCCTGCCTCTGGGCTCTGCGTGAGAGAGAAATAAACCACCTCTTTTAGTGTTGTTTTGGGTTTTCTGTCACTTGTGCTCTTTAATTCTTAGACTGTACTTCCGGAAAGCCCCTATACCCTAAGACTGGGTAAGTGCCCCCCTTGTATGTTATTCAAACACCCCACCCTGCAATCCTTTCTTCTTTTTTTTTTAGACAGAGTTTTGCTCTCGTTGCCCAGGCTGGAGTGCAATGGCACGATCTCGGCGCACTGCAAACTCCACCTCCCAGGTTCAAGCGATTCTCCTGCCTCAGCCTCCCGAGTAGCTAGGATTACAGGCGCGAGCCACCGCACCCGGCTAATTTTTTGTATATTTAGTAGAGCCAGGGTTTCTCCATGTTGGTCAGGCTGATCTCGAACTCCCGACCCCAGGTGATCCTCCCACGTCGGCCTCCCAAAGTGCTCAGATCACATGTGTGAGCCACCATGCCTGGCCTTCTTCAATCCTTTCTCAGCATTTTCTATGCTTTTCTGTAGTTGACTTTTCACTCTCCCAGATGGTAACTTCTCTAAGGACAGGCAGAGACTCTACTTTATACATCATTTTATGCAGATGCTAGAAACTGCTAAAGCTAAAAAAAAAAAAAGAAGAAGAACTTGTGAATGTGACAGACATGATGATTCTGCCAAGGGTGTTGAGGGAAAATGACAAACAGCCACCTACGCCCTCTCTGCATGTCCTGAGTCATTGCCAAGTTATCTTATGGGGGCAGGGGGTGCTGGCCCTTCTGAATAACCAAAGACAGAGAATTAGGACAAAGGAGGGAGGAAGAGAACACTGCAGGAAATTCAGGTCATGGGAGGAAGGTGGCATTGGGGAAAAGGGTGCTCTTTTTATCTTGTTCCCGCTGTTTTGGCTCTTGCCCCTGGCTCCAGCCCCATCCCCTCCAGTCCTGGTCTCCTATCGCCTGCACCTGTGTTCCCGTGTTCTATACCTCAATTACACCCAATTTCATTCCTAACTGGAGTGGCCCTGATAAATTAAATTTAAAAAAAAAAAGTTATAGACACAAACAGCCCCAGTTAGAGAAAGCAGTACCCTCATCTGTTTCTCATTTTTTATCATTCTTTGTTCATTCATTTCACATGCATTCACTGAATGGCTACACTCCTAAGACCTCTGGGTACGCAGATGAACAGATACCCTCTCCAGCCTCAAGGAAGTCACATTTTTGGTTGCGATTTGAGAGGAAACAAGATGTCTCTATCCCCAGATTCCTCAGTCCTTCAAATGACCCTGATCAGGAGCAAAAAATACAACAGTACGTTGAAGTACATGTTGCATTGCCCCCTATTCGCTTCTGTGTTGCTCAGGTTGGCCTTGAACTCATAGCCTCGCCTCCCCAAGCGCCAGGACAACTGGCTGGAACCACCGCAGCTCCCTCTACCTGCTTCTAAAAGTGGGGGTTTTGTTTTGCTTGTTTGCTTAGCTGCTCAGCCCTGGACCTTGTCATACTGGTTGAATGGATGGACACGTGACGCAAAGTAAGGAAGACAAGACAGGGAACTTAAGAGTTCGAAGTAACAAGACATTTGAGAAGCTGAGATGTTGAGAGAGATTTAGGAACTGAGTTGGAAGGCAGTGTTTGTTTGTTTGTTTGTTTTTGAGATGGAGTTTCACACTGTCGCCCGGCTGGAGTGCAATGGCATAAGGAAGGCAGTTTTTAAAGGAAGTTGTGCTCTGTGGCATGTAGAATCTCTGATTTGGTCTTCAGAAGATCGTCAGTGAAGAGTTAACTTGATCTTTTTATTTCTGGAGTCGGGCGTCGGATCGGTCTAGCTGGTTTCTCGCTTCCACTTCTTCCTTGTGGCTCCCACGCCGCACCGAGCCATTCAGCCTGCACAACGCAGGCAGTGGATTTTGCCTCTGAGGTAGGAGCTGGCAGCTGCCTACAACAGTATCCATTCTCTGCTCTTCCTTAAAAACAGTACATTTCATTCAGAATAGCAATGTGCCCAGTCGGCTAAAAGACTGCATTTCCCAACCTCCTTTGCTGTTAGTTGTGACTAGGTGACTGTGATTTCAGCAGGCATTTCTTGGAAGGCTGCCCTAAAGGAGCTGGTTGAGCCTGGATGTGAGTCTTTTTGCCTTCCCCCACCCTCTTCTAACTACTGTCTAGATTTCAGATGTGCTGGCTGGAACTCCTGCAGCCATATTGGACTATGAGGTGACTTCGAAAATGGAAACCATTCCAACTCTGAACAGCCTATCCCCAGATTTATTTAAGGGAGAAAAAATAAGCTGTGTCTTTTTAAAGTTGTGGTTATTTTAGGTTTTCTATAATGTGCACCTAAACTTAAACCTGATACTACTACACAGTGACTGTATTCTTAGTCTGCTCAGGCTGCCATTAAAAAAAACAACCACACAGACTATTATAGGCTCATGCCTGTCATTGGGAAGGTGGAAGCCTTTAGGACAAGAGTTCCATTTCTCACCTGTCCCCTTCCCCTGCATCAGGACGGAGAATCTCTCAGCCTGAGTCCCTGTGTGGCTGTGAGGAGCAGAGCTCCCTGCCAACCCAGGTCGGCTCATGCCTGTAATCCTAACATTTTGGGAGGCCGAGGCAGGTGGATTACCTGAGTTCAGGAGTTCGAGACCAACCTGACTGACGTGGTGAAACCCCATCTCTACTAAAAATACAAAAAATGTAGCCAGGCATGGTGGCAGGTGCCTGTAATCCCAGCTGCTCGAGCGGCTGAGCCTCAGTTTCCTCCTCTATAAGTTGGAGACACTATCAGCCTCCCAAGGCACCCAGAAAAAGCACATGGGAAAATGCATTCAGCAGGTGTCCCCAGGGCTCCTCCAACGAGTCATGCTCCACAGCTGGGAGACCAGAGTGGCCAGGGAAGGCTTCTCTGAGGAGGGAACATTGATTGAGATGATGGCTGAATACTGAGGAGGAGCCAGCCATGCAGAGAACTGGAAGAAGAACATTCTAGACAGGGGGAACAGCAATTGCAAAGGCCCAAGGTGACCAAGCTCCATAAGTGGCTGCTTTTCCATCTCTAGGTCTCCCTTCCACACTCGAACATGCCCTTGTCAACCAGGGGCCATGGAGGCCACAAGTTACACACCATGACCTCATCATACACTTGATTTGTTGACTCAAGCAAGTTACCAGCAATGAGTTATTCACCCCTTTCCCAGGACGGCAAGCCCTTGGGCTTCATGCAAAGGCAGGGAAAATGAGGTGTCAGTAGAGCTGAGTTTGCTCTGGGCCCAGGGCCATGTAGATAAGCTGGTTATCATCAGCAGCTCCAGCTCCAAGAGGCGAGTGGGTGTCACTGTCACCACTAGGAACTCAGGTTTGCTTGTCCTTCTGGGTGGAGGCCCCAGCACATCCACAGGGCAAGGAGGGAAGTAAATGTTCTTGTCTAATCTCCCCCAGGGATATCAGAGGCCCCCCATCCCCGAAGGTGGCCGCTCCTTTGTCAGGGTCTTGTTCTTCCATTCCTTCTTGGAAGGTGGCCATGGGGCATCAGCATCTGACCGTGAGGTCCGGTGGCTAGAAGTCAACTTGAAATCAGTGGAGACCCAGGTCATGCCCAGGCTTTCCCGGTGGGCCTTCCTTGATCCATTCTTTCTCTCCATAGAGGGAAGTCCCCAGAGAGCATGCGTTGTTCATCCCTCATCAGGACCTTCCAAGTTCCAAGGTATTTCTTGAGCATCAGAGAGGTAACAAGGCCTGGAATACACCCTTGTCTCACCCTCCTAACTCATCCAAGAATCCCCTAAGACGAACCAGAACATTGGGTTTCAGTTGTCAAAGTCTGACCTGAAAATGCTCATTACTCTAAATACAGGCCTGTGCCATACCAGTTTACAAGGGTTGCTGTGGAATGAGCAAGGAGGGGAAGCTGTGGGGCTGCCAAGCTGGGCACACGTCAAGCACCAACTGGCACCACTGCCTCCTGCTTCCTGGTGCCACTCCAGCCGGGGCTGCACCCCCCACCCCGTGTCTGGCAGCTTCCAATGTTGCTTTCCTGCTCCCATGAGATGGCAAGTCTGGCAACAGAAGTGGAGCTGCTCGTAAGGAGAAAGAGGAAAGAACTTCAGCTCTGGCACCTGCAGACCTCCAAGGGTTTCCTACAGAAGCTGGCAGCGGGGACTGCAATTGACCATTCTCTCACCTTTTCCTTCTTGCAACTCCCCAAGCCTAGCCCTGGTGGGAAGAGGATTACCTGAGAACCAGAAGCCCCGGCTCCCAGCGTTTCACTGACCTATCTTGCATCCCTTTGGTACATTATACACCCCAGCTCTCAGTTTCCCCATCTTCAGGATAACAAACGGACTTGTCCAAGAACAGCAACCATTCCAGAGCCACCGCCGAGGCTGGTTAGTGGAACATGTGGCTGAAAGGACTGCATGTTGCTCAGGATTCTGGGGCCACATACAGTGGCCGGGGTGCTGTGGTTCACTGGCAATATCTGCCTTGGACTCAGAAGGGAGCATGGTAGACCAGGTGCCACATCACTGCCATGCAGGAGCTAAAGGACCTTTGCACCATGGAACATTCCACCACTTGGATTCTTCGGGATACCCGATGGAACATTCCGCCACTTGGATTCTATGGGATGAGATCCGACAGCCACACGGCAGAAGTTACCAGCTGGGAAGCTCGTAGATTCTTCAGCAGAAACTCTATTAGGCTGATGAATTACCTTTACTAAAGGAATGAATAACAATAACAAAATTTTAGGTCCAAGATGTACCAAGAAAAGCTGGATATATCAGACAATATGTTTAAAAGAGAGATGTTTTGGGTGACCTGATGTTTTGCCGTCCAGCTTGAGATGAGGCCACTGAACGTGGCCTCTTTCCCATGGCTCCCCAGCAGCAAGCATTCTCTACCAACTCCATGTCTGGAGCAGGAGTTCCAGCAGGAAGTCGCAGCCTCCAGCACCGGATGACCAGAAGATCCAAGTGGGAATGGATTGCTGGTAGGTACTGCAGAAATCTTAGCTCTCTCTCCCCACAGCCGGCTGTTCTCTGTTTAAACTTGACTCACTGCATACGTCCCACTGCCAGAGGAGACCCTTTTCCAACTCTTGTTCCACTCTGCAGACCCTCTGTTCACCCCCCTGGGCTCCTCGTCCATCTTAGTCTGCCTTCCATCCTTGCAGGCTGCCCTCCTCTCTGTTATTTAGTCATGAATTCCTCCTCCCTTCCCTTCAAAACATTCCCACTGCTTCCGTCTTTGGCTCCCTCCCTACCGGGGCCCCTGCCCCTTCCCTGCAGATGATACTAAAGAAGAGAAAGCCAGGGGCTGGGTGTAGTGGCACACGCCTGTAATCCCTGCTACTCAGGAGGCTGAGGCATGAGAATCACTTGAACCTGGGAGTCGGAGGCTGCAGTGAGCCAGGATCGCACCAGTGCCCTCCAGCCTGGCAACAAAGTGAGACCCTATCTCAAAAAAAGGGAAAGAAAGGGTGTAGATAAAACAAAGATTTGCAGAACAGTGTCATTTCTTGATGCTGAGTGACGGAATATGAGGTCCATGACACTATTCATTTTTACTTTGATGTCTGACCATTTTTTGTAATAAGTTGAAGACATTGCCATTTGGAAGTTTCTGTCTTTAGTGGTATCCTGAGGGTCCCAAGCAAGGCCGACCTGGGCGGGCCCCAACTGGCCGAGCTGCTCCTGAGCCTCCCCAGCCCACTGCTCAGGCCCAGCCCTCATGCTGCTGTCTCCCAACACTACCCCTCCAGGTTGTCTGACCATCAGCTTGAGACTCTGAGGAGCTGTGTCAGGGCCTGGAATTGGAAAGGATGAGAACTTTTAGAAACAACAGAATGGGGGTCTCCCTCCCTGGCTTTCTCTTTCTCTTTTTTTTTTTTTTTTTTGAGACAGAGTTACGCCCTGTCACCCAGCCTGGAGTGTAATGGCAAGATCTCGGCTCACTGCAACCTCTGCCTCCTGGGTTTAAGCAATTCTCTTGCCTCAGCCTTCCGAGTAGCTGGGATTATAGGCGTGTACCTCCATGTCGGGCTAATTTTTTGTATGTTTAGTAGAGACAGGGTTTTGCCATGTTGGCCAGGCTGGTCTCAAACTCCTGGCCTCAAGCAATCCACCTGCCTCAGCCTCCCAAAGTGCTGGGATAATAGGCATGAGCCATGGCACCTGGTGACACCCTACCCTTATTTTTTTAATTTTATTCTTTATATATTTATATTTGCTGGAGTATTTTAAGGCACACAACTTATCATTTCACTGTAAATATTGTACAATTCTGGGAGACAAGGGTCACATATATATACAGCTGTAATTAAAATACATGTATTCAAATGTATGTATAGTGGCAAAGCTTTTATTCCAAACAAAATTACCAACTTTATTTTTTTTAATTACCAACTTTAATATTAATCACCTAATTTCCAGTCCACGTTCAAATTTCTTTGGTTCTCAAAAATGCCTTATAACAGTTGATATATTCAGATCCGGGGTCAAGATCTTGAGATTATCCACGTGTTGCATTTGGTTTCTGTTTCTTGGGAGTTTTAATAGGCCGGGTGCAGGGCTCAGGCCTGTAATCCCAGCATTTTGGGAGGCCGAGGCGGGCAGATCACCTGGGCTCAGCAGTTTGAGATCACCCTGGCCAACATAGTGAAACCCCGTCTCTACTACAAATACAAAAAATTAGCCAGGTGTGGTGGCAGTCACCTGTAATCCCAGCTACTCAGGAGGCTGAGGCAGGAGTTCAAGTGTGAACCTGGGAGGCAGAGATTGCAGTGAGCTGAGATCGCACCATTGCACTTCATCCTGGGCAACAAGAGTGAATCTCCACCTCAAATTTAAAAAAAGACTTAATAGATAGCAGTCCCCCTTTATGTGCCATTAATTTATTTATAAAATATATATATGGGGCCTGTTAGAATGGCCAAAATCCAGAATCCTGACCACACCGAATGCTGGCAAGGATGTGGGGCAACAGAAGCTCTCATTCATTACCAGTGGGAATGCAAAATGGCACAGCCGCTTCAGAAGACAGCTTGGCAGTTTGTTATAAAGTTAAACATACTCTTGCCGTATTACCCATCTGTCACTCTGCTTGGATTTACCCAAAGGAGTTGAAACTCCGGTTCAAAAAAAAAAAAATTGCAAACCAAAAAGTTGCAAAATAATGAGTTTCAAATTCTGCCATTCCTTCTGAATGTACTCTTTGGAATTTATTATTAATTTATTTTGAGCCACACCTCACTCTGTCACACAGGCTGAAGTGCAGTGGTACCATCATAGCTCACTGCATCCTCAACCTCCCGGGCTCCAGAGATCCCCTTGCCTTGACTTCCCAAAGTGTTGGGATTACAGGTGTGAGTCATCGTGCCCGGCCGGATTGGATTTTTCATAGAAGAGGCGCCTCTGCTAACCATGTAACCTTTGCAGAAAGGAACCAATTAGAGCAAGAGTTGCCATCTCTATAGGTTCTTTTTTTTTTTTTTTTTTTTTTTGAAACAAAGTCTTGCTCTGTCACCCAGACTGGAATGCAGTAGCGCAATCTTGGCTCACTGCAACCTCCACCTCCTGACCTCAAGCAATTCTCCACCCTCAGCCTCCTGAGTAGCTGGGATTGCTGGCATGCGCCACCATGCCTGACTAATTTTTGTATTTTTAGTAGAGACAGGGTTTTAACATATTGGCCACACTGGTCTCGAACCCCTGGCTTCAAGCGATCTGCCCGTCTCGGCCTTCCAAAGTGCTGGGATTACAAGCATGAGCCACCACAGACCACTCAGGAATTTTTTAATAAAGCAGCTTTCTTTCCCTCCTTCCTTAAACTGATGTTAAAAAACTTTTTAGTCAACTTTTTAGAAAAAAATCTCACTTCTTCCTCTGCCTCCCCATAAGTAACAATTTTTATTAGTTTTTGGCTTATTCTATCACAGTTTCTTATTTAAAATAGACATATATGTGCATATATATATGCATATGCAAAAGCAGCAAACTATAAACACCATTCTGCTGACCCCCTTTTTAAAACTAAAGAAGGCCTGGTGCAGTGGCTCACACCTGTAATCCCAACAGTTTGGGATGCTGAGGGGAGTGGATTGCCTGAGGTCAGGAGTTCAAGACCAGCCTGACCAACATGGTGAAACCCTATCTGTACTAAAAATACAAAATTAGCTGGGTGTGGTGATGGGCACCTGTAATCCCAGCTACTCAGGGGGCTGAGATAGGACAATTGCTTGAACCTGGGAGGTGGAGGTTGCAATGAGCCAAGACCACACCACTGCACTCTAGCCTGAGCAACAAGAGTGAAAATCCATCTCCAAATCAATCAATGAATCAGTCAATCAAAGCAATATGCTCTGGAGATCCCATTCATCTCATTTCTCTTTCCATTGCATTATACCCCTTTGTGTGTCCACTCTGCATTCTAGCTTATTAAGCAATCCTCTATAGATGGACTTTTCTGACATGTTACTTGTCTTCTGCAATTACCAATCGTGCTGCAATGAATTGCTTGTACATATATCTTTTTGGTATTTTGCCGGTGTGCCTTTGGGACAGATTCCTAGAAATAGAATTGCCGAGCTAAAGGTCATATATGTATGTGCAATTTGCTAGATATTGTCAGATTCTCTCAGGAGAGGTCAAACTGACACAGAGCCCCAGCCAGGCACAGTTGCTTATGCCTATAATTTCAGCACTCTGGGAGGCCAAGGCACAAGGATAAACTTGAGTCCAAGAGTTCAAGACCAGCCTGGACAACATGGCAAAAGCCTGTTTCTACAAAAAAAAAAAAATATATATATATATGTGTGTGTGTGTGTGTGTGTGTGTGTGTGTGTATGTGTACATATACGTATATATGTATATATACAGACATATGCATATATATACACACGTATATATGTATATGTGTATTTATATATATACATATGTATGTATGTGTGTGTATGTTTATATATATATATATATATATATATATATATATATATATGCAGAGCCCCCACATCATTTGCAACCCAAGCCTGGGGTTGCAGTGAGCCGAGATCACCAGGTCAGCCTTAGCACTGCTCTACCCAAGATGGACATGGACTGGATCTGGATCTTATATGGGAACATGAGGGCCCTGGAAGTCCTAGAAGAAGCCATACCATTCCATTTTCTTTATTTTGGACAGAAAAATACCAGTTTAAGAAGGTAGCTCATCTCATCTCAGGCAAGCAGAAACTCCTGGTGGTCCTTTTTTGTCTTTTTTGATTGGCAAGACACTTGAATTATTTCTTTTTATTTGGCAGACAAAATGTTTCCAGCCAGGATCCTGTCAGGGGAATTACAGCAGGTGCTCATCAAGTGGGAGTTCTCAGTAAGTCCGTTGGTTTATCTGATCCTGGTAGTCTTTCTTTACAAATGGAAAGAAAAGCAATGCATTTCATCTATTATTCATTCAACAAACATGAATTGAACACCCTCCCTTTCTGTCCCCTTTCTACCCTCCCTTTCTGCCTCCTTTCTACTCCCACCTCTAGGCCAGAAATAAAAACCTGCACATCCCACAGTTACTTGAGGTTTGGCCCACACTATGTTTCTTGAAAAACAAATGAATTAGCTGCCAACATCTAAAGATCATGGATTTCACATAAATATCCAGACTTTTGACTTATTATGATATTATTATCTATATACGCACATCAGTTTCATCCACAGTTCCTGGTTCATAACTCCCATAGCCCTTGTTACAGTCTTTTATTACAAGCTTAGAGTATGTTAGGCCTCTACCCAGGGCTCAGAAAACAGAATCTTTCTCCCTGACCTTCTCCAGCCTTCTTTTCGCCTGCTCCTTTTTCTCCCTAAGGCAGGTCTTAGTGCCTAAAACTATGTTCTAACCTTCCCCTGCCTCTGTCCCTAAAGAAATTCTCTGACTGACCTTGCATAACTGCGCGTCATAAAACTCCACTTCAGAAGGGGTCCTGCCCCATACCCTGCAGGGAGGAATGCTGTACAGAGAGGCCAAGAAGGATCTCAACACACGGCCACTGCTGGGTTTCCCCACTCAGCCAGTCAGCACTCCATCGTTCCCTTTTCGTTCAATCGTACTTCTACATGGCTGTCCATGCTTCCCTCGTGCCTATCCAATGAAGTCTCCATAAAGGGCCCAAGAGGATGAAGTTTGTAGAGCTTCCATAAACCAGAGTATGCGGCGGTTCCTGGAGGGTGGGGCACCTGGGGAGGGCATGGAAGCTTCACGTCCCCTCTCCCATACCTCCCCCTATGCAGCTCTTCATCTGTATCCTTTGTCATATCCTTTATAGACAACAGGTAGATGTAAGTAAATGTTCCCTGCCTTCCGAAAACTGCTCTAGCAAATGAATTGAACCCAAAGAGAGGGGTCTTGGGAACCCCAACGTACGGCCAGCTGGTCAGAAGCACAGGTCAAACAACCTGGGGCCTGCAACTGGCATTGGAAGCGGGGCCCAGTTTCATAGGCCCGAGCCCTCAACCTGTGGGAGCTGACACTGTCTCCAGGTGGATGGTGTCAGGCTTGAACTGGAGGACACCTTGGCTGGTGTCTGCTGCAGAACTGACTGCTAGCTTGTTGGTGGGGAGAAAAGCCCCATGCATCTGGTGTCAGAAACATGTTGCAAGAGTGTGGTTAAGAGAAGCCAGGAGTGGTGGCTCACGCCTGTAATCCCAGCACTTTGGGAGGCCAAGGCAGGCAGATGACCTGAGGTCAGGAGTTCAAGACCAGCCTGACCAACACAGTGAAACCCCATCTCTACTAAAAATACAAAAATTAGCCAGGTGTGGTGGCAGGCACCTGTAATCCCAGCCACTCAGGAGGCTGAGGCAGGAGAAGTGCTTTAACCCAGGAGGTGGAGGTTGCAGTGAGCCAAGATCTCACCAGAGTGAGACTCCGTCTTAAAAGAAAGGGGGGAAAAAAAGAATGTAGTAAGAGAAACACAATTTGAGTTTTTGCCATTTACATCTTGAAAACTTGGCAACCTGGCATCACAGCCCACCTGCCAGTGTGGCAACTGCTGGTGGAGTGGAGAAGAGGCTGCCCCTTGTGGGGAGACAGTAGTGCTGGTGCCAGAGACACCCACCCAGTTCTTCCATGTACTTCCTTTGCCACCTTGGTCTCGAGCTTGTGATTCCTGCCCCAGACTGCAAACTCCCTGAAGGCAGGGCCTGACCGTGTCCTATTCGACTTTGATTTCCCAGCATCTATCCCACTCTCCAGCACACAGCAGGTCCTCAGTAAATGTTTACCGGATACAAACAATATTTTTGGATTGCATGTATCGCATTTCTTCCAATATTAAAATTGTGTCAGGGTCATGCTGCTCTAGGCTGGATCTTCGAAGCAGATTGGCAGCGTAAGTGGCCCTGCTGTGTGCCATCCCACCCCCTAAATCCACTCATACGTCAGTGGGCCGCTCCCAACATTTTCACTCTGCAATTTGACCTCTCTTCCTCCTAGCAATCTCCTCGTGGATGAGGGCAGCAATGCGCACCTCACAGGGTCACTGGGAAGGTCACCTCACAGGGTCACTGCATGAGATCATAAATATCAAGCACAGCATCTAACGCTTATTTTGTCACACGTGCTTGCTGCCTTTAGCTCCAAGACAGTAAGCGTCTCCCCGCTCTTTGTTACCCTGTATGGTTTGGTTTTGTTTTTTCAGCCAAGCCCCAAGGAAGAGGTTAGAATAGAAATCTCTGTATTCTGAGAATTTTCTAGGTCTCCTCCTCACAAACGGGTAAAGACTTTATCAGGAAGGTTTGCATTTCTTATCGAGTCAATACTGGCCCCCAAGGAGATGACTAGGGCAGATCAGAGTGTATCTAAGTGAGCACCTCCTGACCGCCACTGCATGCTCAGAATTCACTCTTTCCTGAGTGCTTTAGACCCAGGAAGGAAGTATGAGCGGCTTCTGATCCTCAGGTTGGTGGCACTCTCAGAATGCTTGGTCAAGTAAGTATAAGACACATCAGCTCTCTCCTTGGGCTCCTTCTTGCCCCCTTCTTCTCTTGCCTCTTATTCTTCTTCCAGGGCAGGGGAGGAAATGCAATCATTCTCTGATGCTCATATAAAGTTCAAGGCTCCGTTTATTGATGAGTAGCTTGCCATGGGCACTGTGGGGCCCAAAGGTCTTGGGGCAGGTCTGCACTGTGGGGCCCAAAGGTCTTGGGGCAGGTCTGCAGGGTTGCACAACTCCAGGGGCACCAGTCACATCATGGGCTATGTGAATGGGACTCCCTAGAATTGTTCAGTGCTCAACCTGTGCAGCTGTAGGTGTGCTCCCATGTAGAAACAGAATTTCTGTGCGATTTTCTAGGTTTTCTCTCTACTCCCTCTCTGTTTCCTTATATACATCTCTGTGAATGCACCTCTGTCTCTGCATCTCTCTCTTACATCTCTGTCTCTTTAGATATCTCTGTGTATGCAGAACTCTGTTTCTTTGTGTTTTGAATCACTTTTGTTTCTCTGCTCTCCTCATTTCCCCGCCTTATTCCCCATCTCAGCATCCATGACTCTTCTTGCTTCCTGGCTTCCTCTCTCACCCCTTTCTTCTGGCCGAACCCTGGGGAGATCAGGAGGGCTACTTCTAGGCCCGGGTTTGCCACTATTAATCAGCGTAACCAGAGCCAAGTCACAAAGTCCCTGCATTTCAGATTCCTTCCATGTAAAAAGAGGATAATGATTCTCCCTATCCCTCCCTCTCAGGCTGCCTGAGAAAGAGACATTGAGATGGCAATAGCCATAGGAAGGGCTGTCATTGTTATAGGACCTGCTATATGGCAGGTGCGTTATATCAACTGTCTCACTTAACACCTCCAAACATTCTATGCTAAGGAGGGGGTGGGTCATCATTCCACCTTTTTTTATAGATAGATAGGGAAACTGAGGCTCAGAAAGATCATATAAACTGCCCAAGATTACTCAATATAACCTGGAATTAAACCTAGAGCCATTGCCATGGTCTTTTCATTGGTGTCTTTTTCTGATAGTAAGATAACAGTCATTAAAAAGTTTGGAAAATGCAGGATGTAATTACAAGGCACAGTGTGACGGTCACATTGCAGCAAGGGGCAGCCGATGACTGTCCCTTATTTGTTTCCCTTCCCAATGCTCAGTTGAAGAATCCCTCTGATGAAGATCAAATCCATTCGAGAAAACCTCCGGGAAAATGACAGGCTGAAAGATTATCTTGAGAAATATCCTTACAGTCTGGCCTATAAGTTTCTTGATCAATATCAGGACGAGGGAATATCTTTGGAACCCATGAGGAACTAACTACCTGGCTGTGAGTGTGCTGGGAGGATGGAACTCCACAGCGCCCCCTAGGGCCCCTGGCAAGCACTGGGGCTCATCTGGGGCTGAGCCAGCGGGTTAGGGCTGGAGCTTCTGCAAACGGCGGGGAACCGGGACCCATTTCCAGAGAAGAAGGCACTCCTACCCTTTGTTGTTGGTCTGTGGTGACTGGGCCCAGCAATGACAAGGTGCCAGGTAGACATCCATTTCTGCGCCAGTGATAGTGCCACTGGACACCCTTGAACCACGACAGTGCTTGTTATGGGAACATCACCCTTTCTGAACTAAAGGAGCCACGTTGAAGGGTGATCCATGTCTAATCAAATGGCAATAAAGAAAACTGCAAATCAGGTTTGACACCCGAGGTAGAAGTTTAGGCCAGGTGCTGTGGCTCACGCCTGTAACTCCAGCACTTTGGGAAGCCAAGGCAGGCGGATCACCTGAGGTCAGAAGTTCGAGACCAGCCTGGCCAACATGGCAAAACCCTGTCTGTACTAAAAATACAAAAATTAACCGGGCACAGTGGTGCATGCATGCCTGTAATCCCAGATACTTGGGAGACAGACAAAAGAATCTCTTGAACCGGGAGTCAGAGGTTGCAGTGAGCCAAGATTGCTGTACTCCAGCCTGGGCAACAGCACAAGACTCCATCTCAAAAAAAAAAAAAAAAAAAAAAAAAAGAAAGTTTAGCTTTTTCAGCCCCGGAATCAAACTAACAAAAAAGTTGTTGAGGTGTTGCAGTGGCTAAGGCCTGTAAACCCAACACTTTGGCAGGCCAAGGCAAGAGGATTCCTTGAGGCTAGGAATTTGAGGCCAGCCTGGGCAGCATAGTGAGACCCTGTCTCTACAAAAAGTTTTAAAAATTAGCTGGGCAGGGTGGTGTGCACCTGTAGTCCCAGCTACTTGGGAGGGTGAGGTGGGAGAATCGCTTGAGCCCAGGAGGTCAAGGTTACAGCAAGTCACGATCATGCCACTGCACTCCAGCCTGAGCAAAAGAGAGAGACTCTGACTCTCAAAAAAACTGTGGCCAGATGCAGTAGTTCATGCCTGTAATCCCAGCACTTTGGGAAACCGAGGCGGGCGGATCACCAGAGGTCGAGAGTTCAAGACCAGCCTGACTAACATGGAGGAACCCCATCTCTACTAAAAATACAAAATTAGCCAGGGATGGTGGCGCATGCCTGTAATCCCGGCTACTCGAGTGGCTGAGGCAGGAGAATTGCTTGTATCCGGGAGTCAGAAGTTGCAATGAGCCAAGATCGCGCCATTGCACTCCAGCCTGGGCAACGAGTGAAACTCCATCTCAAAAAAAACTTTTTTTTAAGTTATTGAGCCCCTGGTGTGAGATGTTATGATAAACTAACAATATGATTATTGTTGCTTATGTAACCAAAGGCCTCATCGTTTCTTCAAGTACTTATAGCCCATCCAGAGAAACAGACAAAAGTAAGTAAATGTCAAGCAAAAGGATCAACTGTGTGGTATTAATATTATGCGATTTGAGTTTAAAGGAAGAAAAGAGCACAGTGGCCTGGGCAACCTAGGAGGGCTGCCTGGAGGAGGAGGCACTCAGGCTGGGCCTTCCAGGGTGGAAAGGATTTGGCGAGCTGTGGGGAACACTGGAGAGCTTCTCAAATGATGGTGGTGGCTTGAGCAGAGACTGTGCGGAGGGGGCTGTTGGAAAGTGATTTCAGGAAACATGAAGAAGGCAGGCACCCTGGGAACCAGGGGCATGGCCAGGATGCCAGGCCTTCCCTCACCATCCCTCCCAAGTCCTGGCAGCTGGCCTACATCGGCATCATCAACATCGGAACACCGCCTCAGGAGTTCACGGTCATCCTGGACATGGGCTCCACTGACTTGTGGGTGCTCTCCGTCTACTGCGTCAGTCAAGCCTTCGATGAGCACTCCCTCCCCCATCTCATGTCCTCCCAGCACCTACCTCCTCTTCCATCCGCAGCAGCCTGACAGATGCCCACCCCTTGTGTCTGCAGCTGACCACAACGTCTTCAACCCTCTGCTGTCCTCCACGTTCCAGGGCTCAGGCAGGCCCATCAGCATCGCCTATGGCACCGGGCAGATGTCAGGATTTCTTGGCTATGACACTGTTAAGGTAACATGGAAACCAGAGGCAGAGGCAGGGCTGGCCTTAGGTGTGACCATCACTTACAGGACCAGGTGAAGGGGCAGCTGGGAGTATCCATCTCTCCTAAAGTCCCTCAGCAGCTGGCCACCTGCCCTGTGGGGCTGTGACCCAGGGGAGATGGTGCCCCTGCTGGCATGCACACTCCTCCAGAACAGCCTCCCCAGAGAGCGGGACCATCCGGCCAAGGTGCTCGGGTGAAGGAGGAGCGAATCTGCAGCCCCTTTTCCCACAATGAGTAGAAGACTAATTTTGCTGGATGCAAGGACAGAGGTGGGTGGGTAAAAGCCACCAGTTTTGTGCCCTCACACTGTGTCAGGTGCCACACTGGACACATCACTTGGAATAACCTGTTTAATCCTCATGACCACAGCAGACTCTATTGTTACCTCCATTTTATAGAAGAGGGAACAGAGAGAGTGAGTGCCTTGCCCAAGGTCACACAAGGGGCAAGCAGCAGAGCTGGGAGGCGAACCAGGTCTCACATGGGTGCGGAGTGTTGTCAGGAGAGGGGAGAACTGGCCTGGGGCTGAGGGTCTCCAGGAACCAGGCAGGGAAAACGGGCCACAGCTTTGGGGAGCTCTGCCTGATAAACAGGTTCCCCATTTGTCTTCTTCTGCTTTTTTTTTTAGACAGAGTCTTGCTCTGTCCCCCAGGCTGGAGTGCAGTGACACAATCTCAGCTCACTGCAACCTCTGCCTCCAGGGTTCCAGCAATTCTCCTGCCTCAGCCTCCCAAGTAGCTAGGATTACAGGTGCATACCACCACGCCCTGCTAATTTTTGTAATTTTTAGTAGAGATGGGGTTTCATCCTATTGGTCAGGCTGATCTCAAACTCCTGACCTTGTGATCCGCCCACCTCGGCCTCCCAAAGTGCTGGGATTACAGGCATGAGCCACCATGTGTAGCCCCCATTGGTCTTCTAAAAGAAGGCAATCCTGCTCTCTACCAGTTTGTCCTCAAGTGGGAACTGTGTGGTCACACTCAGAGTCTAATTAACACTAGGGACTCCTCCCCAGAAGTGCCTGCATACTTCTAAAAGTCCCTCAGTAACACACACACACACAGAGAGAGAGAGAGAAGCATTTACTTCCCAGACAAAATTTTCATAAGAACCCTAGTGGCTACACGTGTAACGGGCTACTGTCTCCCTTGGGGGATGTAGAAAAGACAACCTTTGACATTTGCAATGAATTCTCTCTGTTTCTGTGATCAGATCATAGCGACACCAAAAAGGGGACAATCCTGCTCCCTACCCATGTGTCCTCAAGCAGGAACCGTGTGGTCACACTGGGAGTCACTGTTGCCCCACCTGTATAAAGGGAATGTGGGCCTCTGTGACTAAGCTCGGATGATATGCAGGAGGCACGGGGTTGGTTAGAATCACAGCCCACGGGACCCACGCTCACATAGGTCAGCCCACCTCACAGTGGCCTCAGGCTTCCCCCATGGAGTCAGTGCTACCTCCTCAGACACCTGCACCCCAGCCCAACCCCAGCCCCACTTCCCAAATCTTTCCACAGAAACACCCTCCTCTCCCACAGATCAGGGACCTTGTGGACTTCGGCCAGGGGTTCGACCTGAGCATCAAGGAGCCCAGCCAGTTCATGAAATACGCGGTCTTCAATGGCATCCTGGGACTGGGCTACCCCAGCCTCAGTGTTGAGGGAGCCACCCCGTCTTTGAGGACCTGTGGAACCAAGGCCTCCTTTCTCAAACCTCTTTGCCTTCTACTTGAGCAGGCAAGCGTGGGCTAGACAAGCCTTTCTCCAGCTCTGCTGTAAGCAGCTTTCACTTGCATGAAAAATTAGAGACTCTCTTATCCAGAAGTTTCCTTAGAGATAGTCTGGTCCAGGGAGTCAGCAGACTGTATCCTGGGGGCCAAACCTGGCCTGTCACTTGTTTTTGTAAATAAAGTTTTATTGGAACACAAGCATGTTTATTCGTTTATGAAGGCGTGTGGCTGCTTTTGAGTGTCAAGGGCAGCACTGAGCAGTGCAATAGAGACTGTACAGCCCAGGAAGCCTAAAAAACTGGCCCTTTGCAGAAGGTGTGCTGACCCCTGTAGTCCAGTCCTTTCATTCAACAGATGAGGAAACAGACTCAGAAACCGATCTGCACAAGACTGCCCAGTAGTGGCAGGACTTGAACTCAGCCCTCAGGACTCTCCCCCATGGCTGGTCAATCCATCAGCAAGCCTCCAATCACTGGGCTTGGGAAGTAAAAGCTGGTCTTCTGATGGACTTAGGGTCTGGTGGAGAGCAGGGGAGAAGGAGGAAGCACAGATGGCAGGACGGTCGTGGTGACAAACTGTGTCCTCCCCGCAAATCCCGTGGTTGACCCCATAGACCCGTGTGGGAAGCAGGAGAGTGGGTGGTTGAGGCTGTGGGCTCTGGGTGACTGAGTTCAAACCCTGGCCCCATAGCACGACCTGACGGTGTTTAGCCTCGTGAGCCTGAGGAACTCCCGCACTCCATCAGAGGAGATGATTCATGCGCTGGGTACTATGTGCTGGGTACTGCTCTGTACACATGAAGAAGACAGACAAGAAGCAGAGAAGGCAGACAAGAAATAAGTCCATAAATAAAAGAAAAAGATGACTCTGGCGGGTGCCGTGGCTCACGCCTGTAATCCCAGCACTTTGCAAGGCCAAGGTGGGCGGATCGCCTGATGTCAGAAGTTCAAGACGAGCCTGGTCAACATGGTGAAACCTCAACTCTACTAAAAATACAAAATTAGCCGGGCATGGCGGGGGCACCGGTAATCCCAGCTACTCGGGAAGCTGAGGCAGGAGAATGGCTTGAGCCCGGAAGGCGAAGCTTGCAGTGAGCCGAGATCACGCCAGTGCACTCCAGCCTGGGCGACTGAGCAGGACTCTGTCTCAAAAATAAAATAGAAAAGGTAACTCTGACAGCAACTGTTCTATAAAAGCAGCAACAAATCAGGGCGATGGAGCAGACGGGAGTGAGGGTGTGGGCTGAGATGGCCGGTGGCGAAGTCCTCCCTGAGCTGAGACCTCAGAATGGGAATGAGCCAGGCTTGAGCGGCTAAGTGCCTGGAGCAAGGACGAGTGAATGCAGAGGAGAAATGAGAGCTTGCAGCGTCCGGGGACCAGCAGGGGGGCCTGCGTGGCTGGAGCACTGGAGGGGGAGGCAGGGACAAGGCTACCCTGGGGTTTTGTACTAGGTGGGAGTGGAGGCCTCTGGCAGGGGGATAAGCAGGGAAGAGACATGGTCCGATTTACAGTTTTGAAGGCTCACCTTGGCTGCCAGCTGAAGGATGCTCACTGACCAGAGTGGAGGCAGGCAGGCCAGGGAAGAGTCTGTGCACAGTGGCTCATGCCTGTAATCCCAGCACTTTGGGAGGCCAAGTGCCTCAGGCAGATCGCCTGAGGTCAGGAGTGTGAGACCATCTTGGCCAACATGGTGAAACCCCATCTCTAAAATACAAAAATTAGCCAGGCGTGGTGGGCATGCTTATAATCCCAACTACTCAGGAGACTGAGGCAGGACTTGAACTCAGCCCTCAGGACTCTCCCCCATGGCAGGGGGAGAGGTTGCAGTGAGCTGAGATTGCGCCATGGCACTCCAGCCTGGGTGACAAGATCGAGACTTCGTCTCAAAAAAAAAAGAAGAAGAAAAAGGTGGTAGCTTGGTCCAGGGAAGAGGAAGAACAGTGTGGGGAAGGAGGAATGAGCTGGAGGAAGAGCTGGAGGATGAGCTGATGGATTTGATGTGGAAGAGGAGGGTATGCAGAGCTGTTCCTACCTCGCTATGATTTTACCATGATTCCAGAACCAGTCACAATATTTGCAGAGCCCAATGCAAAAGGAAAATGCAGGGGACCTTGTTCAAAAAAAATGTTAAGAATTTGAAGGCTGGGCACGGTGGCTCATACCTATAATCCCAGCACTCTGAGAGGCTGTGCTGGGCGGAGCTCAGAAGTTCAAGACTAGCTTGGGCAACATAGTGAAACCCCACCTCTACAAAAAAATACAAAAATTAACCAGGCATATTGGTAGATGCCTGTAGTCCCAGCCACTCGGGAGGTTGAGATGGGAGGATCACTTGAGCCCAGGAGGTCAAGGCTGCAGTGAACCATGATCACGCCACTGCACTCCAGCCTGCATGACAGAAAGAGACCCCGTCTCAAAAAAATAAGAATTTCAAGACAGCAACAGCAGCGGCTCACACGCCCGTGGAGACACCCCTGTGTGAGCCTGAACATGCGGTCTTAGTCCCTGTTGGGCCTCCGTTTTTCCAGAAAATGACAGGCTGGATGAGTGGAGGTCAGACCCCTCTCTCCATGGCATCCTCTGACTTCATCTCAGGCTCTGATTGCTGGAGGAGACCTGGTGCTTCACAGAAGATGGGGTGGGCAGAGCCCAGCTCAGAAGCCAGACCATCCAGGTTCAATCCTCAGCTTTGCCACTTGTTACTAACCTTGGATAGATATTCAACTCCTCTTTGCTTCAACATCTCAATCCATAAAATGGGGAGCATAGTAGTGCCTGCTCCATAGGGCTGCGTGAGTGTGTGGATTAAGTGAGTGACAGTAGCAGTCCCTTAGACAGTGCCTGGTGTCTCTGAGCCTGAAGAATGCTACTCATCGTTCTCCACTTGCAATGAGCCATTCCTGCTCCTTTCCCCTCCAGCAAGGAAGAGAAGGGCAGTGTGCTGATGCTTGGCGGGGTGGACCCCTCCTACTACACCGGAAACCTTAACTGGGTGCCAGTGTCCAAACTCCTCTACTGGCAGATAGCCAGGGACAGGCAAGCCACACCTCTGACTCCTGCCCCAAGTGATGCCACCCCCCCAAACACACACACACACAGACGCACTTACAGATGCATGCAGTCACACATACATGCACTCACAGACCAACCACTCCAGACGCATCCAATCACACACACACATGCACTCATAGACACATGCAATCACACACACATGCAATCACACATGCAATCTCACACACATGCACTCATAGACACATGCAATCACACACACATGTGCTTACAGATGCATGCAGTCACACATACATGCACTCATAGACCATCCACTCCAGATGCATCCAATCACACACACACGCACTCATAGACACATGCAGTCACACACACATGCAATCACACATTCAATCTCACACACATGCAATTTCACACACACATGCAATCACATACATGCAATCTCACACACACATGAACTCACAGACACATGCAGTCACACACACATGCAATCACACACACACACTCACAGACACATGCAATCACACACACGCAATCACACACACACGCAATCACACACATGCACTCACAGACATGCAGTCACACACACACAATCACACACACACAAGCACACACACACAATCACACACACACATATACTCAGACACATGCAATCACACACACACATGCACTCACAGATGCATGCAATCACACACATGTGCTCACAGACGCATGCGGTCATAGACACATGCGCTCACAGGTGCATGCAATCACACACACACTCACAGACACATGCAATCACACACACATGCAATCACACACACATGCTCAGAGACACATGCAATCATAGACACACGTGCACTCACAGACACATGCAATCACACACATGCGCTCACATATACATGCAATCACACACACATGCATTCACAGATACATGCAATCACACACACATGCGTTCACAGACAAAATCACACACACGTGCTCACAGACACATTCAATCACACACACACATGCACTCACGGACTCATGCAATCACACACACACACACATGCACTCACAGATGCATGCAATCACACACACACATGCACATGTGGAGATATGTCAAACACACACACACACACGTGCAGTCACAAGACACACACACATACGTAAAGCATACCCATGGGATCAGGATCCCTCCAGGTCTCCCGGCCAGGATCTTGACCAGAGAGAGTGAACCAGAGAGAGTGTCTTGGCACCAAACAAGAGAAAGGAGACCTGGAGGCCTGGGGAGGCTGGGGTCTCTGGGAAGAGGACGGAGCAGTATGCGGAGGCCCTCGCTGTACTGTGGGATGGGTGGGCAGTGTGGTCTGAGAAGACCCACCAGGCTCAGCAGAGGCATGATAAGTGACCAACCGTCCTGGTTTATCTGGGGCAGTGGGGGTTCCCAGTACATGGGACTTTCCATTGGAAAACAGGGGACATCCCTCGCAAACCAGGCCACCCCAGGGAGAAAATCCCAGCAGTGGAGAGAGGGGTCTGGTTCATTCTCGAGACCTAAAAGTGAATCATACTGAAGTATACTCCCCACCCCACCCCCATCCCCGGCACACAGCAGAGCAGGGGGCTGTGACAGAGGCAGTAACCTGGTTCCCTTGAAGTGCCTGGGAACATAGGGACAATAACCGGCCAGACTCTGGGTGACACCATGAGACAAAAGCTTAAGTTGTCCTTCAGAGGCTTCTGTTGCCTATGGCTTTCCCCTTGGGCACAGCCGGGCCAGGGGTCAGCTCCTGAACCCGGGACTGTGGAGGAGACAACCTCTTTCAGGGCAGCCTGTGGCCCCCTCCGCGTCATTCTGAGCGTCTCCTGCCCACAAGAGCTGCCTGCTTCAGAGATACAGGTCTCTGGTGTCCCCCATTCATTCATTCAACCAACGCATTGAGCATCCACTGTGTGACAGGCACACACCTGAGGGGGGCGCTGACTTCACACCCTGCTCTGACAACCCTCATCACATAGTAAGCAGGCGTGCGTGAGCCAACGAGCCACACAAACCACACATTCCCACATCCAGACCTGCCAGAGGCTGACCAAGAGAGGAGCCGGAGCTGGTCTGCAGGGAAGACGTCCCTGAAAAAGTGGCAATTAAGCTGGAACCTGGAGGAAACAGAGAAATTAGCCAGACAAAGGGGGTAGGGGCAGTTCTAGGAAGGGAGACCACCATCAGCAGAGGCCCAGAGGTGAGGAAGAGCCTGGCGCATTTGAGAACCGAAAGGCAGCTGGGCGAGGTGGCACACGCCTGTAATCCCAGCACTTTGGGAGGCCAAGGTCGGCAGATCACCTGAGGTCAGGAGTTCGAGACCAGCCTGGCCAACATGGTGAAACCGTGTCTCTACTAAAAATACAAAAATTAGCTGGGTGTAGTGGCGGGCACCTGTAATCCCAGCTACTCGGGGAGGCTGAGGCAGGAGAAACGCTTGAACTCTGGACACAGACATTGCAGTGAGCCAAGATCATGCCATAGCACTCCAGCCTGGGCAAAAGAGCTTGAACCCAGGAAGCGGAGGTTGCAGTGAGCCAAGATTGTGTCACTGCACTCCAGCCTGGGTGACGGCACAAGACTTCATCTCAAAAAAAAAAAAAGAAGAACTGAAAGAAGGTCAGTGTGACCAGCACAAATGGAAAAAGAGGTGGGTACATGCTGAAGGGCTGCTCTGGAGACGGCCAGGGAGGGGGGGAGGCAGGGGGCTGCAGAGTGAACCTGGTGCCTGCTTTGCACCCCGTCTTTCAGCATCACCATGAATGGGAAGGTCATTACTTGTGATGGCGGCTGCCAGGCCATTGTTGACACCGAGACTTCTTTGCTGATTGGCCCACCAAATTCTATCCGTGACATCCGGAATAAGATCAACACCCAGCACTTCAGTAGCGAGGTTAAACAATCGGTCCCAAGCGTCACTCCGGGGTTGTCCACACACTCCAGGACCAGCAGGACCAACCTACCCTCCCTCTCTGTCTGCAGTGCCTCATCGAATGTGACGCCATCCACACCCTGCCTGACCTTGTCTTCACCATCAATGGTGTCAGCCAGTGCCCACATCCAGCAGGTGAGGGGCCTAGTCCTGGGGTCCAGGCCTGGGATCCTGGGACTTGTGGGAATCCTCAGGCTGCAGCTGGAGGAAGAGGCCCCGAGGAGGCCAAGCTGTGCCACTGCAGACACCACAGCATCCTCCTGGCTGGGTCAGTGCCTGCCACCAAACATTGTGACAGTATAATAAAAGTCAGGCTGGGACACCCAGCGTCTCTGACAAATGTTGAGAGATGGTCACCCTGTGCCAGCATAGTGCTAGCACCAAGGAGGAAGGGACCCTAAGGGCCTCTGCCCCAAGGAGCTTCTAAGGATGAACATGTGCATCGGCTATTGCAATACCTGAGATCGTCCGAAGAAATAATGACAGGCAGGGTTGGCTGTGGACAGTCTCATCATAAGTATTAACTATAAGGCCAGTTGCCTCGCCGGGAACTAAATGGACACACCCATCCCTCTCCACGTCTGCTAACTATGTTATCATTCTGAACGCATTACTCAGCATCTGGCCTCTCCATGTGGGCTCCTCACACCCGCCTCTGCATTCCACACCCAGATCTACACTCAGCACCAAACTATGCACTCAACCCCGCCAAAATTTAAAAAGACCTGCCAAAGACCCGCCTAATAGCAGCTTGCCCCGTATGTCCTCAGCCAGCCCATCTACCAGTAGTCCCGCCTGGCTACCAATAGCAGCTCGCCCCATCTGTGCCCTGCCTCCCCATAACCAATGAAGTTGTCTTCGCTTTGTTTCCCCAATATCCAATCAACTACCTCCACTCCCTATAAGACCCCACACCCTGAGAAGCCAAGCACGACTTCTCTGGGCCCCTTCCCGGACCATAGAACTTCGCCCGGGAGCTGAATAAATTGGCTTTTTATTTTCTTATACTGGCCTCAGTTTCCTCATTTTGACTTGGCAATATACCTTCCCACCCCCAGATGCTCCTGGTTTGGATGATCAATTACATGGTCACCCTAGTCTTAGACCCTCCTCCATAAAATAGGGTCCCAGGCCCCCTTTGTGGGGTGGTTAGGATGTTGACGTTGGAAGGATATCCAGGGACCACATAGCCCCTGACACAGAGTTGTGGGTCAGTGAACGCCAGTTCCCCAGGGAAGTCCGGGAGGGGCTGAACGGGTTAAAAGAAGGCTTTCAGGAAGAGAGATAATTTAAAGGATTCTTTTTTATTCTTTTTTTTTTTTTTTTTTTTTGCGATAGAGTGTCTCTGTCACCCAGGTGGAGTGTGGTGGTGCAATCTCGGCTCACTGCACCCTCCACCTCCTGCGTTCAAACAATTCTCGTGCCTCAGCCTCCCGAGTAGCTGGGACTACAGGCACACACCACCACACCCGGCTAATTTTTGTATATTTTTAGTAGAGATGGGGTTTCACCATGTTGGCCAGGTTGGTCTCGAACTCCTGACCTCAAGTGATCTGTTCATCTCAGCCTCCCTTACAGGCATGAGCCACTAAGCTCAGCCAGAACTTAAAGGATTCTAATCCACAGTCTCACAGAGGCAGGAGGAGGGCTGCTTAGGTTGGGGTCGGATCTAGGCTGGGCACCATCCAAATGGCACCCCAGGGAGTGTGCAAGGCAGTGGCTCAGGGCAGACAAATTGGCAGACAAGGGCCATTCAGTGTGATGAGGGCTGGGGACACACAGGTACCAGGGGACCACGGAGGAAGGTCATCCAGCCCAGCCTGAGTCCAGGAAGGCTGCCCTGAGGGGCTGCTGGAGCTCAGTCTTTAGGAATGAAGGAGGCGAAGAGAAGAAGGAAAGGCAATCTCTCAGAGGGAGCATCACCAGCAAGGGTCAGAAGGAGAGACATAGCACAGTGTGAGGGCAGCCACAGCAGTTCTGGGTCCTTGGTGGGCAACCCGCTTCTGCTACGACAGAAGAGAGCCACTTGGCTCCTTCGAAAGGAGGGAAATGAAGCAGCTTCCAGGTCTGGACGTGGAGGGAAGTGGCAGGGCAGGACTCAGGCTGACCATTGAGTGTGTCTGTCCTCTGCAGGACCGTCCAGACAGCTGTCATAGCAAGTTTGAGGAGTAGTCAACAGACTGCACAGCACTAACACCTGGGTCTGGGAGACGTCTTCCTGAGGCAGGATTGGCCTGGCTCCTGCAGTGGAGAATGCTGGCACTTCTGCAGAAAGCAATCAAGCCTGCCTCGAACACATACTTAAACACCCCGGGGGGGATTCCCTCAGGGGTGCGGTTGGGGGAAAGGGCGGGGGGTGGGGGGCTGACCCGAGCTGTGTTTGGTGCTCGGCAAAGCCCTGTTCTCAGTGGAGAAAAAAGATTTTATTTCAAATGGTGCTAACATTTATAGCTGCTCCCCTTTGGGTGAGGGAGATGCATGGGAAAGAAGCAGGATTCTAGAATCTAGTCTAGACCACAGGTCAGGTGTCTCACTTGTGAATGAAAAGGAAGGTTTAGGGGAGCGGTGGCTCACGCCTATAATCCCAGCACTTTGGGAGGCCGAGGTGGGTGGATCATGAGGTCAGGAGTTCAAGATCGGCCTGGCCAAGATGGTGAAACCCTGCCTCTACCAAAAATACAGTCACCTGGGATCCATTTCTAATCTTCTGAAAAGATCCTCAGCCTATTTCTCTCTCTCTCTCTCTCTCTCTCTCTCTCTCTCTCTCTGTCTCTCTCTCTCTCTCTCTCCCTTTCCTCTCTCTCTCTCTCTCTCTCTCTCTCTCTCTCCTCTCTCTCTCTCTCTCTCTGTCTCTCTCTCTCTCTCTCTCCCTCTCTCTCTCTCTCTCTCTCCCTTTCCTCTCTCTCTCTCTCTCTCTCTCTCTCTCTCCCTTTCCTCTCTCTCTCTCTCTCTCTCTCTCTCTCTCTCTCCCTTTCCTCTCTCTCTCTCTCTCTCCTCTCTCTCTCGACGGAGTTTCGCACTGTCACCTGGGCTAGAGTGCAATGGCATGATCTCGGCTCACTGGCTCACTGCAACCTCCACCTCCCAGGTTCATGTGATTCTCCTGCCTCAGCCTCCTGAGTAGCTGGAATTACAGGCACACACCACCACGCCCAGCTAATTTTTTGGAGTTTTAGTAGAGACGGGATTTCACTATGTTGGCCAAACTGATCTCAAAGTCCTGACCTCGTGGGACTTCAGGTGTGAGCCACCGCACCCGGCCTTTTCTCATTATTTTTATGCTGTTTCCTAAGAAGCGAGAAGAAATTAGAGCAGGTGACTACAACGTCTATCAGTAGATTGTGTCGGGTAAATGTCCTTCGTTCTAAGGTGGCATATTAGCCTGCAGTGTTTTATTAGGGGAAAGTGAAAACAGCATTAAAGTGTATTAAGAAATAAAACACATTTATTTGTTTTAAAGACATCTCTTGAGCACTTCTTGTGAGTGTAAATTGATACAGTCTTTTCGGAGATGATTTGTCCCTGAAATGTATATGACCTTTGTCCCAGCAGTTTTGCTCTCAGCATTTAGGCTAATGCCATGCTCAGAAATACCCAGAAACATGGAGGAGCAAGATGGAATGTGCAGAGTCTTACACAGGGAAAATCTGGAACCTTCTAACGTCTGTTAAACAGTCACCCCAGCGTAGACAGCCATGCAGCCATCTTTCTGTTTTGTTTCTTTTTTGTCTCTTCTTTTCCTCTTCTTTTATAGAGTGACAGGGTCTCAATATGTTGCCACGGCTGGTCTCAAACTCTTGAGCTCAAGCTGTCCTCCTGCCTTGGCCTCCCAAAGTGCTGGATTACAAGCATGAGTCACCACACCCGGCCCTTTTTTTATTTTTCTTTTATTTATGTTATTTCTTTTCTTTTGAGGCAGGGTCTCACTCTGTTGCCCAGGCTGAAGTGCAGTGGCACGATCACAGCTCACTGCAGCATCAATCTCCCAGGTTCAAGCAGTTCTCCTGTCTCAGCCTTCGGAGTAGCTGGGCCTGCAGGCACACGCCACCGTGCCTGGCTATTTTTTTTTTCTGTATTTTTTGTAGAGACAATGTTTCATCATGTTGCCCAGGTTGATCCTGAACTCATAGGCTCAAGCGATCCTTCTGCCTCAGCCTCCCAAAGTGCTGCCATTACAAGTGTGAGTCACCACACCCGGCCTTTTTGAAAATATGTTTTAATGTGGTGCTTCTGCAGCCATCTTAAGTCATGTGACCCCAGTCTTGCTGAGCGCATGTCAGTGTTAGATTTTCCGCATGTGAACCCTGTGACATTGCCCAGGTCAGCAAATGTCTTTGGAGACACACACTAAAGGTTTAAGAGCAAAGGATCATGATGTCTGCACAGCAACCGGGCATACAGGGCCCAGTTCAAATCCCAGCACTGATATGTACTAGTCATGTGACCTTGGAAACGTGTGCTTCTGGGCCTCAGTGTCCTAATCTGTAAATTTGGGATAAGAATAGACCCAGCCAGGCACGGTGGCTCACGCCTGTAATCCCTGCACTTTGGAAGGCCAAGGAGGGCAGATCACCTGAGGTCCGGAGTTCAAGACCAGCCTGGCTAACAAGGTGAAACCTCGTTTCTACTAAAAATACAAAAAAATTAGCCAGGCGTCGTGGTGTGCACCTGTAATTCCAGCTACTTGGGAGGCTGAGGCAGGAGAATCATTCGAACCTGGGAGGCAGAGATTGCAGTGAGCCAAGATCGCACTATTGCACTCCAGCTTGTGCAACAAGAGCGAAACACCATCTCAAAAAGAAAAGAAAAGAAAAAGAATACTCTCTCAGGCTAGTCAGGGGTAAGGGAGAGAGCAGGAATGTGGGCTTCTTCTCGGGGATTGGAAATGTTCTGAGATTTAATCATGGTGATGCTTTTACACCTCCATCAACATGCCAAAGACCACTCAATTGTACACTTCAGACGGGAGGATCTATGATATGTGAAACACACCTCAACAAAGCTATTACATTGTATAAACAACAACAAACGTCACAGAAAAAACAGTTCCTGCCTTCTAGGGCTGCAGTCACGACTCCATGAATTCATCATATAAAACCTTTAGAACCTGCCTGTCACCTCATAGCATGAGCCATTTCTATTTTAAACAGCAACAGAAAAAGACCAAAAGGTTCAGTTAACCAAAGAATATAACGCTCTTTCTTTGTTTCTTTTTCTTTCTTTCTTTCTTCTTTCTTTTTTGAGACGGAGTCTCGCTCTTGTTGCCCAGGCTGGAGTGCAATGATGCAAACTTGGCTTCCTGCAACCTCCGCCTCCCGGGTTCAAGTGATTCACCTCCCTCAGTCTCCTGAGTAGCTGGGATTACAGGCATGCACCACCACGCCCAGCTAATTTTGTATTTTTAATTTTGGAGACGGCGTTTCTCAGGCTGCTCTCCAACTCCCAACCTTAGGTGATCCGCCCACCTCAGCCTCCCAAAGTGCTGGGATTACAGGCGTGAGCCGCACGCCTGGCTGATATAACAGCCATTCTATCCAAAAGGCAACAAAATAAGGACAATTTTTTTCTCTCCTTATACTTTCCCGAGTTGTTTCCGTGATTGCTTTTAATATGGTGGGAAAGCTAAGCATTATTCTATAAAAGAGAAAGACCCCGAGTAGAGAGAAGGCTATATCTTTGCTGGGGTTGCTCCGGTTCCTGCTGGAGTGAATTTTTCCCCAGAGAAAAAAAGGCTGTTGGGAAGCCGACTGTCAGTGGAGGACTGACCCCTGGTGGCCAAGATGGATATTACATGCATACTTGAACTGGCTCACACTCCGCGTGGTCTCAGACCCGCCCATTGGTTTCATCTACTTGAACGGCTACTTAGCGACGTGAAACCACTGTAATATAAACTCTCCTACCTTTGGACCACAAATCCCCTTTGAGAAATACACCTCACATAGTAAATATGTAAGTTTATTATGTATTAGCTGTAAAGATTTTCCCCAGGGAATCTATTGCCA